AGTAAAATAATATGTACATGTTGATTGAGTGTACATTTCTCATTTGAGCGAGTTGGTAATAAGAGAATTTTATTTTTTAAATATGATACAGGAATAAAGTCTTTTGAGCTATCTGTTCCAAGATATGATAATGGAAGTTGAGATTGAATATGAACATGAAAGTATTCTAGTAGTAAGTATTATCAACTTAAAAATCATGATCAAAGTAGTTAAATTTCTAAATTTTCTTAAATCTCAATTTTCAAGAATTTTCTTGAGGAAAAGGAAAGGTTTTAGTTTAGGATTGTGATGAAAGTCTTTCGCACTATGTTTTTAGTGATTAAATTTATATTTTAAACATTTTTTGTTTTGTTAAATAATATGAAGATTCATTGAAAAGATCAAATCATTATGAAATCATCCATACATTTAATATAGAAAAAAATCTTCAACGTCCTATCTTGGACAAAATATTTTTTTCAGTTATTGTAATCTATCTCACATAATGAATGATGCTGATGTTGTTGTTGTATTTTTAGAATAACTTTTCTATGTACACAAAGAAACGAGCATTGCTTTTCTCGGTTGACAATAATGAAAAATTTATTCCTAAACATGGCCTAAATTGCACAAAAAAATGGTGACTGATAAAATTTTTTAAATGAAACATGACATGTTACTTTCAATTTTTTATCACTCATCATTTTTTGCTTGAAATTTATTACCTCAGCTTTTTCTAAAACTGAGGGGTTTCCCTTTTTTATTTAATTTTTTTATTAAAATAAAAAATACATTTCCCCTCGATTTATTAACATAGCCGAGGGGTTTTGTTACACGGGTATAACAATGAATCTATACACTACATTTATAAAGGAACAACATTCAAGATATTTTAAAGATATCAATTCATAACAAACTATCTACATTCACCACTATATATCTTATGCACACAAAAGGTATGTAAGAAAATCAGGATTACATCAAAGATTTGTTATTCTCCAAGAAAAACAACAATGATGATGAATCTGGATGTGTTGTAATCAATATATTTTAATATTTTATATAAACAATGTAATTTTTAAAATAAAAAACTAGCTTATTCTTCTCGGTTTCAATTGAAACCGAGGGGTAAATACTTTTTATCTCAGTTTTTGTCTTAGCTGGGAGGATAATTGAACGTGTTTATTAAGGATATTTACCGTTCTTAAACAAATGATTTTCGTCCATTTAATAAGTATCACCACTCAAGACACTACCATTTGTGAGTCGTGTGAAACCTAAAAGACATTATAAGAGAATTTTGAATATCAAAAATTGATAATGAAACATGAAGCGCTTGGAACTATATACATTCACGATTATATGTCATGTTCTCTTTCTTGTGAAAGTATTTGTCATAAAAAGTTATCTATGATGGATTGCAAGAGCAAAAAATTATTTGGGTTTAAGGTTTATGTTCTTAAATATTAATTAGAGAAGAAAATCATATAACTTGATTATTTATTTTGTTTATCTAACATTTTTTTTGTTTTATATCAGAAATAAATGTAAGAAAAAGTCATTGAGAATATACTCACATCCAATATTAGATCTTCCCTAAAATTCAATGATTCGAAGATCCAACATCTGATCTTCATTGACAAATTAATTTTTACTTTAATATTCTGTGTAAACAATATAATATTCTAGGTACAAAATATAGTTTGTAAATAAAATAATTTATTAATATCATTTGTAAACAATACAACGAGTATTTAAAAAAAGAATTTATCTAACCCTTTGGTTTTGTTCATAAGCCAAGAGGAATGAGACACTAGTTTTGAAAATATAAAAAAGCTTTTGCTGAGAACCGAACCCACGTGTAAATAATCATAACCCTTATTTTTTAATAATCGAGGGGTAAAGTGGCAGATTTTCATGCCGCCCTTCCTTACCTCACTTTTGTAGCCGAGGTAAAATTTATTTCGCCTTCGAGGCTAAATGTATTTTTTCTAGTAGAGTATTTCCCTTTAAATTATATTCCCTATAAAAAGTCTACCATAAACATGTGATTTATGTAATTCTTAATGATTGCCTTTGTAACGAGTTTATGACTATATAATTTTATTTGTAATTAATATTTTTTGTGATCTATTGAATTGGATAATTGATTAAGATGGAAACTGAGACTTAACAGTGAATTATTCATCAGATTAGTAAAACTATGATATTATAATGATAGTTCGTATTGCAACATGAATAGTCTAGGGTATTATTCTAGTTTTATGCAGTATCTAACATTAGTCATTGAGATTGAAGGCTTCCAATATCTTCACTCTATGTTTTGTAAATTTTTTTTTATTATACACACTATAACATCTTTGATATTGTGATTGGAGACTCCTAGTTCATGGTTATTACTTTAACAAAGATAATCTCCTTGCGATTGGAGACTCACAACATCTATGGAGTTGCGAGGTTGTTATTTAATATTTTGTAAAAGGTAAAAATTGAGATAGAGTTATTATAGGATTAGTTATGTAAGTTCTCTCATCTAGGGATAGTTGAATAAAAAGGGAAACTTAATGCTTTTAAGGTATGTTGTTATTGATAACAATTGTATGTTGATGATACAAATTTTATATTGTTGTACGATGAAACTTTCATTACATTGAGTCAACATGTCATATAAGAAGAGTTCATTATATTGTATGTGCTTTGAGAGTTTTTTCAACCCCTTACTAAATATATATATAACCTTTAAATTTGATTAGAAAATAACTTATACTTATCAATGTTTTACAAGCTTTTTGCATCATAATATTTTATCTTACCCATAATGATTAGAACTTGTTTCAATACTTCTAGTTATTTAGTTATTACTTCCTTATCTTTTAATTTTATCTACAAAGTAAATAATATTTTGCAAAATGAACTATTGGTAAAAGAAGTGTTAGCTGAAGAATTAGAAGTTTTGAAACAAATTCTAAACGTTAAAGAGGAAAAATATGAATAATGGGTTGAAAAAGTTCGTACAACATTGATTAGTGTAACTTTTTCTTAAAATATTTAACTTAATTTATAATATTATTGATTTCCTAATCAGATTGAATGGTTAATGTTTAGTGAGCAGATGATTTCTAACTATTATTGTTGTATTCACCTTACGTGATCATGACCAAGAGTCTATTATCATCATCCATCTCTTGCATAACAACCTTGGATTCATCTCCTTGAGATTCCCTATTGTTCGCGTTTCATTCTCATTCGAAACGACCGAACCTTTAGAGAACTGTAGCATTGCACCTTACTCTTGTCATACTTCACTCTTTCACCTCTAAAGTTACCTTGACTATCATTTTTGTTGCAACTGCTGTCACCCTTTTGACAAGTCAAAGTCTTTGAATTTTGGGACTCCTTTCCACCAAAATTATGAAAATTCTCTTTACTCTTCATGGACCATTTTTCTTTCGACTTTCGTTCTTATCATTGAACCCTGCTTGCAAAGCGATCTTCATCTTTTCCTTATCATTATTTCTCTATTTCATCCTTTGCTCATGAGCGTCAAGAGAGATGAAGCTCATCTTTGCTCAACGTCGCAAGATCCTTTGACTCTTCAATCACCAATACAATATTGTCAATTCTTACCATTAAAGAATGAAAAATCTTCGGCACAACATTCTGTTCAGAATAGTTTCTCCATAAAAATAATTTGATTCATCAATCACGTAATTTGCATTATATAATCATTGATTTTATCCTTCTCCTCCATTTGAATCAATTCAAATTGACGTTGTGAGTTTGTAACCTCACCACCTTTGCCTTATTAGTTCAAGAACATCTTAGTAGTCAAACAATACCTTCATTTCTTGCATCATTTATCGTAATTCTTTGTATCAAGGGTTGGTAGGTTTGTAGGGACTCTATCATATGAGACATAATTCATGTTGCACAACAAATGTTTATGGATCAGAACCAGGTTCTTGATGCCAAATATTGAAACATACAATCACGCAATTGATATACTACGAGTAAGTGGAGAAAGAGAGAGAGAGAGAGAGAGAGAGAGAGAGAGAGAGAGAGAGAGAGAGAGAGAGAGAGAGAGAGAGAGAGAGAGAGAGAGAGAGAGAGAGAGAGAGAGAGAGAGAGAGAGAGAGAGAGAGAGAGAGAGAGAGAGAGAGAGAGAGAGAGAGAGAGAGAGAGAGAGAGAGAGAGAGAGAGAGAGAGAGAGAGAGAGAGAGAGAAGAGAGAGAATTGAGGGTGAGAATGATAATTTGCATTAACTTGTTAAAAACATAGGGCTGTAACTTGTTAACAGAAACTGTTAACCGGTAACAGCAGACAAAACCATAAAAATTAAATCTCAGGTGTAGCTGATTAACGTGTTTGATTAAGCAGTTAACACAACTTCAAAACTATTTTTTTCTTTTTCCAAAGTGTTTTTCCACCGTGTAACCGATTACAACACATAAATTACATGTTTTCCCTCGATAGTTACTCTTAACTATTTATTAGCATCTTGTCTTTTTCTCTATTTGTCATAAATAATTAAATTTTTTATAAACTATAGTTAACAATATTTTGAACTTTAAAAACAATAATATAAAAAGAAAAAAAAAATATTTGTGATTGCAGTAGGCTGCTTTGGAAAAAATTTATATGGCAAAACCAAATGATTTTCTTTTTGAGGAGAGATGCAAAACCAAAAGTTGGGTCAAACATAATATTGCACCATTAGTTGGTATAGCATAACAAAAAAGAAAATAATTGACAATAAGAGTAACAAATTAGATCTGTATATATTAAATAAGAGCCATATTACAATGTGCATCTTTTCAGCATTACCTTTAATTAGTAACAGGTTTAGTGAGACTATTATATATCACGGAGTAATAGGCAAGTAGCTAACAAGTATTAATATAATTAATTTCAAACGGACTAATACTAATTATTTGTAATGACTTAGCAATATAATTAATGTTATGCAAATTATAGCAAAAGGAATGTGAAATTTATGAATGGTTGTTATTGTTGGTTATGTATTAGTGTCCAACACCACCAGAACTTGGACCAGAATCCTTCATCCCTCCAATGAACCTGTGTCCAACACCACCAGAACTTGGACCGAATCCTTCATCCCTCCTATAATCCTGTGTCCAACTCCAGGTGACGGACCTTCTCCCTTCAATGTCCTGAACACTCCATTTACCTCTCCAATGACACCATCTTTGCCTTGTAATGGACTCAGCAATGCCTAGCTTCTGATACCTTAGGAGCCAAAGAGACAAGAAGGAAACAAGAAGAATAAAAGTGAGGAAAGTAAGGGAGTGTTTGAGTTTTGTATCCATTATGTTGAATAAAAGTCAAAGCCTATTATTTAATTGGAATTGTATTGCTCAATTCTGTTTTAAATTGTATTGCCGAAATAGCATCATGGAGAGGTCCTATTTATAGGTTCAAAAAACTTGTAAATTTTAAAAGCATGTGACAAAATTGGTACGTATGAGAGTAATGCTACTAATAAAGCAAACAGTTCTTGAAATGACATATTTTGAACAGAATTCAAATTAACTTGTAATATAAAAAAGTCAATTACTATTTACATTATTTTGACCTTAAAGGAATTGAATCAAGTTACGAAATTTTTCTATAAATAACTGTCATGTGAAATGTCTTTTAACCTAACAAATATCAAAGGCTTGCGTACTGTCCTAAATAATAATTCAAATCTTTAGTAAAATGATTATTGTTCAGATTTTGCTATGTTGAAATGAACTCTGTATTGATTCAGTTGGTGCAAGCAACAAGCAACCCCATTGACTAATCTGTCAATCTAGGTGTGCTGTATGCAATGGACTGATTTTTGTAGTGTGCTAATTTCTAACTTGGGAAAGTGGAAATCAATCCAAAATTAATATATTCCGTTATTAATATGTCTATTTTTACGTGGGATCAATTCCTACATGCTAGAACTCAAATCCTTTCTAAATATGTGTATGTTTGACCCTAAAAGTATATAATGTTGTTTTGCTAATTGTTTTGGAATTTCATTCTACTTTATATATATATATATATATATATATATATATATATATATATATATATATTATATATATATATATATATATATATATATATATATATATATATATATATATATATATATATATATATATATATATATATATATATATATATATATATAGTATATATATATATATAATATATATATATATATATATAATATAATATAATTATGTGTTACTAGGAAGTATTTTGTTTGTCCTAAATTATAAAGAAATTTTTAGATAGTCACAGGCATAACACATAGGATTAGACACAATCAATTATAATATTTATATTAATTAAAAACTAAAATAAATAATTTCTCTCTTCTCTATTAACACAACCACCCTATGATGGTAAATAAAAAATAAATTAAATTTTAAATAAATTAAAAAATTTCTTTCTTATTATTTATTTCTAAAAAAATGAATTTATGTCTGCTTTCATGCAAGAATTGCTCTAAATTATATATCATTTGATTGTTTTACAAGCATAAAAAAAATATAGTTAATGTTGTTTAAAAAGAGAAATTATGAGTTTTTTTTTAAATGTATTCTTTATCAACGCTTGGCAAGTTTAGGTTATATTGACTAATTGGATGTGGAGATTGACTGTGAGAACTATTAGTCTCTCGTGTGATATCTTATTTGTTAGGTATGAAGTACATGTTGCCTCCTCCATGATGAAAGGTAGATCTTTTAATTTTCTCTTGGCTTTCACTCATTGGAAAAAATGTCTCTTCTTGGATTCAAAGTAGACAATCCCTCTAATTGGTTTGTGGATAGTATTTGTAAGAGAGTGGGCACTGTTCTTCATGCTTATTTTGGGATAATCCGAGGTATAATTTTTGAATGCGCAACATTTTAAAATTTTAAAATATAAATACTATATAAGTACTACGCCAAAACAAAGCTTAAGCAGCGTAATTTAGACAATGCTTGTAAATCAAAGCGCTGTTATATGTCACAATATAATTTTAAATTATATATATTAGACAACACTTTTGAAAAAAGTACTGTCTAAAGTTAAGAAAAAGCGCTGCCTAAGCCTCACTTCAGGCAGCGCTTTATGGAAGCGCTGCTAAATTCGGAAGACATTATTTTTATAAAACTTGTTTAGAGCTTACGTTTTCATAATTTTACCCTGTAACATATCAAATAATAGCTTTGGTTTTTTGTGGTTATAACATTATCTTTGTAGCAATTGTAATGTTACATTTGAAGCAATTGAGTGAAAAGTTGTAATATTACCTTTGTTAGTTTATATCAGTGGAATTTTTATGGTATATTTATATCTTAATTTTTGTGTATACCATTTTTTGAGAAGTTTGTCATGTTTATGCTAGTTAGGCTATATACACCAGTCCATGTTATACTAGACTATGTATACCAGTCAATGTTATACCAATCTGTTTATACCTCTTATACCAATTTATACTAGGCTATGCATGCTAGTTATATAAGGATATGTATACTAGTTATACCAATTTACTTTATACTAGTCTATGCATACTATTTAATACTAGGCTATGTATACCAACCCATGTTATACTAGTTTATGCATAAACGCTTATGTAGTTTATGCATACCAGTTTTAGAGTATATGTTTATACTAGTTATATCAGTTTATGTTCAAGGTTCCTTCACTTCTTTGATCTGCATGACATTTTTCTGTACTTATGCGTACATTATTATATTGGTTACCATATCCACAAATCTGAACATCATATTCTTCCCACTAATTATATTTTGTCCATATATGTCTTCACGAAGATATAAACTTCTTGCAGTTGGTTTTGTCAACAATTGTCATTAAATTTAGTTTAATTAAAGGCCCTACCTACACATTACCTACAGTCATTGACCGTTGGAAAGAGAATTATATTGATGATGCAAGATAGTGAGAAACAACATATACATGTTGCATAAGACATTGGAAACACGAAGTTAGAGTACACATTCTAAAGAGGCAACATGTAGATCAGTAAGAACCAATATTTCAAATTGATGTTTATTGAGAGTTTATTATGATTGAAATTGCATCAACTTCATGTGTAGTCAACATTACAAAGAAACTTTTGTACGTTTTTTATTGCACAAACACTTTCAATGGACTACATTTATTTGAATTCTACATAAATAAATATTCTTAAGTTGTTCTTAATAAATCATTAAAAATGAATCAATACTCTTATCTTTAACTGTATAGTGTACAAACTTTTATCATGATTTGAAGACAGTGGATAAGATGTTGTACTGTAGTCACGTGAACTTGTAATATAATAATATTTCCACACAAATTCCCTTCATAGCTAACTTCATGAATCAAAGGTTTTTGATAGATATGTTAGAACAATGTTTGAATCTACTACCCTATATTTAAGTTTTGATGATAACAAAGTGAAAAGATATAGTATTTATATGTTTCATGTTTGAACTATCTGCTGCCTAAAATTATTATGTTCTGACTTGCAGATACTCTGATTGGTATAAGCAAGATCACGTCTTTTCAGCATCAGAATTTGATTTCATACACCAGCATCAGAAGTTGCCACATCAGAACGTCAAGATCAGATGATCAACTCACGAACATGCTGAAGCCTGATGAACAAGACTGCGCTCAAACACTCTGATACAGAAACACAATAGTTCATCAGCAGCGAAGCAGAATCAGAATGAGCCAAGCCAGAACTTGCGTTAAAGAAGCAACGGTACTGTGCATTGAAAGCTAATTAATTCCAACGGCCTCATTCTAGACAAGATCTTCTCAAGTGCTATATAAACAAGGCTTTGAAGATTATAATGGCTAATGCTCTCCAAATCTCTACACGCACAAAGCTGAACCATAATCTTCGTTCTACCAGTTTTGCTAAACCACATACTCTGATATTCCATTATTGTTTAGCAATCTAGTTTCTAAGCTTCATTTTGTGTATACATCACAGTTGTGATAAAGTTTTGTAGAAAACATCCACACACATTGCTTTATACCTTTGTAAGAAAGTGTTGCCTTGACAAACCGGGTTGTGGTTTGAATCAAGAAGGCTTTAGCAGTTGTTAAAGCAGTCTGTAATATTCAGTTGAATATAGTGAATTAAGACCTCGTTGGAGAGAGGCGAAATCACCTTGACGGGTGGACTGGAGTAGTTTGAGATCAAACGAACCAGGATAAAAATATCTTGTCAATTGCTTTAGATTTCAGTTTTACAATTCAACCCCCCCTTCTTGTGTTTTTCACCCCTTCAATTGGCATCAGAGCGCCTGGTTCTGAGCTAAAACACCTAACCGTGTCAGTACAAGATCCAGCGTCAGAAAAACACAATGGCAGGAAACAATTCTCACTTCAGCAATGACAATAACGAGGACAGAGACAGATTCAGTGGCAAACCTCCAGTCTTTGATGGAGAAAACTTTGATTACTGGAAAGACAGAATTGAAAGCTTCTTTCTAGCACATGATGCTGATCTGTGGGATATGGTGACAGATGGATACACGCACCCTGTGAATGCAAGTGGTCAGAAGATTGATAGAAAACCAATGTCTGATCAACAAAAGCGTGACTTCAAGAATCACCACAAGGCCAGAACCATCCTCCTCAGTGCCATCTCCTATACTGAGTATGAAAAGATCTCCAACAGAGACACAGCAAAGAACATCTTTGATTCTCTCAGAATGACGCATGAGGGCAACGTTCAAGTCAAAGAAACAAAAGCTCTGGCGCTCATTCAGAAGTATGAGGCGTTCAAAATGGAAGAATCTGAATCCATTGAAACTATGTTCTCTAGATTCCAGATTCTGGTAGCTGGTCTCAAAGTTCTGGACAAAGGATACTCTACTGCTGACCATGTCAAGAAGATAATCAGAAGTTTACCCAAGCAGTGGAGGCCTATGGTTACTGCTCTGAAGCTAGCCAAAGATCTCAACAAAATCACTCTGGAGGAACTTATAAGCTCCCTCAGAAGTCATGAGATAGAGCTAGAAGCTGATGAGCCTCAGAAGCAAGGTAAGCCTTTAGCATTAAAATCTAACAAAAAATTTGAGTCTAAAGTTTTGCAGGCAGTTGAAGAAACATCTGATGGATCCTCATCAGAAGAAGACGAACTTTCCCTTCTCTCCAGAAGAGTAAATCAACTGTGGAAGCAAAGACAAAGGAAGTTCAGGAATCCCAGAAGATCTGATCAGAACGAGTCTTCTTCCAGATACAGAAGGACAGATTCCTCCTCTGGATACAGAAGATCTGAAGGCTCCTCCAGTAGTAAGAAGCCAAACACCAAAGACATCAT